AGGACAGGAAGATCAAGAGTTCATGACCAAAAATAAAACTTTGCATGGTTTATAACTAGGATGGATAACTATCCTTCCTACCTTAGACTCATCATTTTCAATCTTTAAGATATTTCACAACCATTTAAAATTTACTGTATGTGTAAGAAATGCAAGAACCAGCCGGGCGGTGGTGGCGCGCGCCTTTAATCCCAGCACTTGGGAGGCAGAGGCAGGCGGATCTCTGTGAGTTCGAGACCAGCCTGGTCTAGAAGAGCTAGTTCCAGGACAGGCTCCAAAACCACAGAGAAACCCTGTCTCGAAAAACCAAAAAAAAAAAAAAAAAAAAAAGAAATGCAAGAACCTTATTAATTTACTATACAGATGATGAGTGGAAGGTACAGGAATAAGTTGGCATTCTGTGAAAACTTAGAAGCAATCAATAACAGTAACATAGGCCAGAGCAGTTACAAGGTAGAGAAGTTGAACAAAAACCAGCTTGACCATCCCCTGAAAAACTAACTGGCCACTCAAGACCAGAAAATCCAACCAACAGTAAGCAGAGCAAGCAGTAACAAAGATAAAAAGATCTCTATTCCCAGGGACAAGTGTAAGGAACAGAGACTAATCCCATGCATAGAAATAGGAAACAATGCTTCTTTAAAGATGTCTGTTCCACTGGCTTTCCTAACTTAAATATGTAAATAAATAAATTCTATGTTCATTTTCAGACTTGAAGTGTACCAAATTGTTTTTGCTATTTTTATTTGTAGTTTCCTGAAGTTCAGTCAAGTGTCAAACATGTTGATGAAGCCTCAGATTCAAAAGCTTAGGAACTCTGATAAAAAGTGCTCCCTCTGACCTGTAGGGTGTGAGACACACACAGCTCCAAGTCTAGCACCCGGGGATGAAGAAGGAAGACTGAGCTGAGCATCAAAAGAAAACAAAGTATCAACCTCTCATATGTTTTGAAGCCTAAATGCAGAAATCCAATTATTAAAATCAGCTGCCAGAAGGAGCTCCACAGACTACAGCCTGAAATCTCCAAAGTAGAAAACGCCCATTCTAGAAACTCCCGCTAAACAACACGCTTGGCTCCATGGTTTTCTGCTCCTTAAACGGATTCTTGCTTTTGTTTTGAAGTCTGAAAGTTTGAAGTGTGTAAAATTTAGAGACAGGAAGAAAAGCTTCAAAGGTTATTCACTCTGGCCTCAAGCTCACACTCTAGCAGAGATCTAGTACCCTAGTCGTCCACCAATCCTCTTTTAGAAGAGATTAATTAAATCCATTAGTTAAAGGTAAACTTAGAATACAAACAACAGCAACAAAGAAAAACAAATTTCTCAAGAATTTGTGAGTTCCCCAGCACAGTCTTATCAAAGAACCTAACAGACTCATTTAAGAGAAAAGGAAGTTACTCATTTAAAATAACAAGACACCAACAACAAAACAATGCTTGTCAACTTATCCTCACTTTTATCTAAATGATCATAACCCTCCTTGTCTACTTACTGTCACAAGGCCTTGGAAGTACGTCCTCCTGAACACAGCTTGCTGCTGAGGCTAAAGCACAATCGAATGCGTTCTACCAAATTCCCAGGGCTCGGTCAGGTGGAAGAGCTCGGTAGAGCTGAGGTCCAGTTCACAGTCTGTCAGCATCCACACTTACACAGTGTTTCCGGCAGCTGACCTGCGCTAGGTGATTACAGTTACCCTCGGTCCTTAGGCTAGCATTTATTCACTGTTTGCCATGCATCAAGCCCTACACAAATGCTCTGTATATATTTTGCCTTTTACTTAGAAAAGCAAAGCTTAAAAGTCACAGCTTGAACAATGATAATTGAATGCTATAAAAATTAAGTCCTATTAAAACCATGATTCAGAAAATTTAAGTCATATAAAGTTCTACCAATATAATAAAATTAAACAAATTCCTGGCTCTTCCCCCTAAAACAACAAAGGGCTTTCTTCCCTTGCCAGCACTCCTAGGTCAGTCACAGACAGTGGCTGAATTTCAGCATCTCCAGACACTTCCCACCCTGACCTCCCCCTGATTAAGAACAGTCAGTACAAACACCAATAGAAAAGTTACCAGTGGAACCTTCCAAAGTTCTACTTCTATTTTCAATGATCCAAGAGTGTTATTACACATACAAAAAAAACCAACAAAACGGCCTCCCAGTACTTCTCCGCCTCCACTACCGGGTGAGGGCCTACTAGGCAGGAGACTAAACCTCTTGATGGCTGAAAATATAAAGGGAACAATTTCTGTGATGACTGAGGTCCGGGGACTGTCCTGTCTATTGCAGAACAGCGTTCCTAGAAGCCAGACTAACCGGTGAGACCAGTAAGAACAAGAACACTGTGCTTGGGCAGCACAGTCTACAGTTAACAGAGAGAGTGTGTGTGTGTGTGTGTCCTACAGACAACTCTTTTCAATTCATTTTTCACTGTTTCTTAAAATCTGGAGAGCTAATGAGGTAAAATAATCTGTATTTTCATTTCTTTCACCAGTGGAAATTCACCAAAGGAAATGTCAAGTGACTAACTCATAAGCATTATGATTATGTTACTTCTGTAAAGAACAGTTTGATGACACAAGCTCAAAGGGTTTGTTCCCTAAAATTTTAGACAATAGAAATAATTGGACAATAAGAAAAATCTAGTTTGTCATCAAGCATCCAAAAATTCGTTAAGTGGCTCCCTCTCCTGGAAAAAACTGAAAGGTGAGTTCGTCTTTAAGTTGTGGAGCACTAGCTCCTTAAAGACCCTTTTTAAAACTGTAAAGAAGCAACTGTGACCTTCCTATCAGCACCAAAGTTTTAACACGATCAAGACAGCAGGCTTCATAGAACCTGTATGCACTAAGCGTACAGAATGTACCGTTAACAAGGAACGCACATCATGATCTCATTTACCAGATAAAAGCAGCTTTCTGGCCTACCAATGAGGATCTACTTCCTAACTTACTGATTGATGCCATCGACAATTCCCAGTCACACTTTCAAGCTCTTACAAAGATCAGGCATTTCTGTAAGGTAAGCAGCTACTCTAGGATCTCAGGTCAAACTTCATCCACTCAGGGAGAAGAAAAAAAGAAAGAAAAGCCACACTAGTAAAAACTCCAAATGTATCTTTTCCAAGTATGTAACATAATGAAGTATTAGTACTATCCCTGGGAGCTGGGTTGTCTAAAGATGCAATTTAAGAAAGCCAGGATCTAGTACAGCTTTCTCCCATGCCTTTATCCTGCACTCTAGGTAACCTGTTCAGCCACCCAGCCACTGAGCCATCAGCTTTCAGATCAAGTGAGAAAATGTCAACTTTTTGCCACATCATCACCTGAGCTGTAAATAAGCAGTGTGGGGGAAGTCAGTCAGGAAACAAGCCACAAGCTCACTGGACTATCTCAACTGCAAACCAAGAGGAAATGCCAAAACTGCAAGGCACAAAAGCACTCTGGGAGAGAGCTTTGCTGTGCGAAAATTCATGCCAAAGTTTCTCAAGTTCAGACGCCTATGTTTATAAAAAGGCAAACACAACTTTTCTGAGAGACTAATCTTAATATTAGTTGTTCCTAATACATTTCCGGTCAGATTCAACCTGATAAAAATCGTTCAATAAGCACTTAGTATTTAAATGCTGGAACTGTAAATACATTAAGTTCAAGTGCTAAATTTTGAGACCCCAAAGAATTTGACTATTGTCATCAGTCAAGGACACTGCTAAAGCTTTGTCCAGGGACTAATCTTGCTGATACAAATATAGCTTGGGGGGGGGGGGGGGTGCAAGGTAATCATATTTAGGGACTCAACCTTTAGAGTCTGAAAATTGATGAATAAAACATTTCTCCAAGGTAAGCTTAACCGATTTTACACACTGTTCACTATCGGTCAGAGATAAAACAGTATTTATTAAAAACTGACCAATCACACTTATCCTATCGGCACCTTAAAATTTTACTGAGACTCATATTAGGACTTCACCTGACCAAATATTCGTGCTAAGATTACATGGCTGAACTAATCAAAGCTGATTTCTCTCGACGAAGACGGACGCAGAAAACTTAAAAAACAAACAAAACGTAAATACAGTACAGTCCTATTCGTAGTTTAATCAACAAAAGCAAGGTCCAAAGCCCCTAGCCAAAAGTGACATTCTTAGCAGAGAAAGGGTGTGAACTACACAATCAATTACTTGTGGTTTAATTTAAAATCACTTTCCCTGGCATTTGACTTACAGAACTAGAAAGTTTTCCTGTAGTCAAGAGGGATCACGCCCCTACTCTGCAGCCACTGCCTTTAGCCGGCGGGGGCGGGGTGTGTAGAAACACAAACTACTCCAAAGATAAACGGGATTTTTCTCTTATCTTTTTTCTTCTGGCTGCCACCAGTAAAAAGAATCTATCTTCAAAGTCAGAAGAGAACAAATAAGTCAGTTGGGCTGGAGGCCAGAACCTCCACCCCTCCCCTCCTAGCTTTGACCTAAACACTTTAATTCTTTCCTTAACCGGATTACCATATGACTAGGGCAGATCACCGGATCAGGCTGCAAACGTCCCTCCTGGCCTTTAGCCTTTCCAGTCCAAATCCAACACTAACTTTCCGACCCCCATTTCCCAGCTTCTGATTCCACGCAAAGCCACGAGTCACGGATTAGCCCCCTTCACTTACCACCACCCCACTCTGTGATCATCTCATCGTCCCCCACCTGGTCCCAAAACTAGCTGAGTGACTATCAGGGAGAGGAGCTAAGAAATCAAACAAAGACTGACCCAGGGAAGTTAGGCTAGTCAGGAGGGTCAGCACGGGAAGGGTGACCTTGGTGCCCTAACACTCAGAAAGGGCTGCGAGGGGCACAAGGGCTCGCCAAGGCACAAGAACTGGCATCCAGACCAGGACCAGCAGGAGGGCGGAAGGAAACTCGCGGAGAGGCATTTCGGGAGAGTTGGGGACGCACTCCCTCTGGCGTTGGCGAGCCCCGCGCCCAGGTAGCGGTGACGGCCCCCAGCCCGCGCCTACCTGTAGCACCAGCGGCTCGGGGTTGAAGGCCAGGGTGAGCAGCAGCTGCATGCGCTCCGAGTCCTTGAGGTTGCGCAGCAGGAAGCTGCCCGAGTCCTTGGTCTCGGCGTAGCGGCGCACCAGGCGATCCAGCAGGCGCTGCGAGGGACAGTGCACCAGGTCCGACCAGCCCTCCACCGCCTCCGGCGTGAGCAGCCGCACGTCGCCGTTGAGACGAGCGAACTCGGTGCGGGGCATGGCCTGGAGCAGGTCGCAGCGCGGCCGGCCGGTGGCCCGCTTGCAGATGCTCTGGTCGAGCTGCGCCAGCTCCCGCTGCGATCCCAGGCGCTTGAGCACCACGCGCCGACGGCCGCCCTCGCGGGGCTCGCCGTACTGCGCGAAGTACACGTTCTTCACGTTGAGGAAGTCCAGCAGGCGCAGGCGGCCCCACGCCTCGAAGCCCACCTGGCCGTTGAGGAAGCGGCGACACCAGCTCGTGCCGAAGCACGCCGGGCACTTATTGAGCTGCAGGAAGCGCCGATCGGCGAGCTCGTTGCGCTGCCAGGAGGCGAGCAGCGACGGCGAGTGCAGCAGCATCAGCACCAACAGGCTGCCGAGAGCCGCCAGCTTCAGTGCACGGGACAGGCGGCCCAGCTTCAGGGGCACCAGGCGCCACATCCCGCCCGCGCGCGGCAACGGCCGGGGCCGGGGCGGCGGGCGAGCGCACCCCGAGCCGCCCCACGGCGCCGAGGCCCGCGGCGCAGACGGAGGGCGGCAGCGAGGGAGCCCGCGAGCGGGCTGCGCCGGCCGAGCGCTGCGACTTCCCCGGTCGACAGTCTCCACAACTCCCGGCGCCCTCCTCCGAGCTCCCCGCCCTCCGACTCCACGGGCGCCGCCTCCTTGCCCGCCAAGTTATAGAGGCGCGGAGAGGGGCGGGGGAGGGAGAGCGGGACCCGCGGCCGCGCGCACGCGCACTCCCGCCCGGGACGCTAGAGCTGCGCCTGCCGGTCCCGGGCGAGCAGCGCGCGCGCGGAGGGGGGAGTCAGGAGCCCGGACGCTTCACACTCGGGAAGCCGTGGGGGGAGGAGGACGGGGGAGGATGCGGCGGGCCCCACGCGCGGGCACGCCCGAGAGCGAGGGGCGGAGCCGGGGGGCGGGCCGAGCGCGCCGCCGGGAAGCGTCAGCGCGAGCTCGCGGAGAGGGAGGGGGTAGCGAGGGGGTGGATGGAGGGCGCGCCCGGGAGGGCGGAGCTCGGCGGCTCCGCAGCCGGAGACCGTCAGTAACGGTTACTCTGTTGTGACCGTCGGCTCGGACGGGCGCGGCGGGAGGCCTTCGTGGGAAGGGTCTCCGCGGGGAGAGGGCGGAGAGAAGTGCGCCGCGGAGCCCGGCGGCTCCGGCCCAGAGTGGGGGGGTGGGGGGGCGGCACCCAAGCCTGGAGGCGGGACTGGAGTGGGGGCGTGGCTAGAGCTCGGGGGCGGGGTCGAGCCGCCCGCTCCGGGCCTTATATGGAGTGACGCGCGCGTGGGCAGGGGCGGGGTTCTGTGACTGGCGGGAGCCCGGGGTCGCGCGCAGCAGACCGCGGTAAGGCCTGGGAGCAGGCGGTGCGGAAAGCTGCAGCGGTTCCGGGCCGGGTGGCCGCTGCGGAGCTGGCGCTGTGTCTGCGGAGGCGGTTACAGTTTCGCTGAGTGAGCACTGGCAGCTTGAGGTCCTGGCGTCTGGAAGCCGTTCTCACCGGCGCCGCCAGGCGGGTCCCTGAGGAGCCCGGTTCCCCACGCTGAGCCCAGGCCTGTCTCGCTACTAGGACGCGTTGCTAAGGCGATGGCCTTGGGGACCCTGGCAGCGTGGTGCGGCAACTGTGCTGGCTCCCGATCTCAAACTAACACCAGACTATGGAAATAACGTGGCCTAAAGTGCGTTAAGTTTTAGAAGGTCTGGGCTCTTGAGCAGTAACTTCAAAATAGGTTCTATTAGGACACTTTAAGTTGTAGCCTTCCCGCGGTCTGATGATTGCGAGCTCCTGGGACACCGTCACAGACACTTTTACTGCGTTAGCTTTCTAGAGGTCAAACAGGAAAATCACGGGAAAGGTAAACTCTCCTGAGACGATGAGCGTTATCTAACACTAGATTACAAATCCCTTCCCTGAATTTTCTGTCTGACGGTAGCACATAGACTCGCTCCGAAAGTGTACTGGTGGGGTTAATGTTTTGTGCTTTATTATCTAGGAGTTGAAACTTGGAAAGAAATCTTAGAGTATGTTCAACATGGTAATGATTTTTACATGCTGTTACAGAAAACACATTTTAAGATGTTAAAAACTATGCAAAGTGACTGAGAAAAGTGGCTGGCACAGAGGAGCATCCCATGCCTCCTTTGGCAGGATTTTGATTTAGCTTGCCCATCAAGCATCCCACAAGGCCATATGATAGCTTATGAGGCAAAAGCTCAAATGAGGTTTCCTCTGAGGGGACTGGACACTTGAGCTACAGGATTCATTCGTGCTGCTTTGGCAGTTGTAAACGAAGCGAATAATTACTAACCTGTGTTTTGTCCTCAAGCCCCTTCGACGTGCTTCAGAGATCGGTTTTAATACTAGACAGTGGGGGATTGCTTTAAAACAAACAAAACCAAAATCTTCTATTGACATTATTTTATCGGTGTAAACAAGCAAGGTTATTACTCTATACAAGATGCTTGGAGGTTCTTTGCATAAAATAACTTTATATCTGTTTAACAGTTCTGGATTTAGGGAGCGAGTTTGGTATTAGTGACCTTCCTGCCTTAGTCTGCTCAGAGTGAGTGAGCATTTGGCGACACAGCACACCACATTCGGCTGTCTGAAGTTCTTTGTGACAGTCTTCAAAAATTTAATAACTTTTGCAAGAGAAAAGTTTTTTTAGAGACCATGAGATAAACTCAGAAATTGGAAAAGATCAGTAAGTATTAATGTACTCTTCTTCCCCTTTCCAGTAAACTACGGCATGCTTTTAGCTAATGGATTATAAGCTGCAAGCCAAAGTTCTTGATCATTATTTTAAATAATGGCAGTGGAATTTTCAGTGTGGCTGCCATTGTTACAAATGTGTTTGGTACAATTAAAGACCGCAGGGGTTTAAATCACTTTTTTTCATTTATTTATCTGCGCGCACACACACAAGGGTGTCACTGGGGTTGGGGTGGAGGTCAGGGGACAACTTGTAGAAATCAGCTTTTTCCCTCTCCCTTGTGAGTTCACGGTGATTAGGAATTCAGATAGCCAGACTTGGCTGCAAACACCGCTACTTGCTGAGTCATCTCGCCAGCCCAAGATCACAGTGATTTGATACCAGTCATCTAATTTTAAAAACATTTAATGTTATGTATGTATGCACACCTGTGCATATGTGTATATGCGTGTGAACACGCATTTGCATGCTCACATGCCTGAGTGGATGTGTGTGAACTGCATTCATGCAGGAACCCTGGAAGATCAAAGGAGACATCAGGTTTCCATGGAGCGCTATGAGCCACCCTGTTGGAGCTTAGAACCAAACAAACCCTGGTCCTCTGCAAGAGCAGTAAGTGCTCTCCTAAGCCATCTCTCCAGCTCCCTAGTCATCTGCGTTTGTGGTCAGTGTTTTCAGTTGCCTTATCTGGAGACATTTTTGTTTTTCAAATGAGGAAGGGAATGCCATTGGTTTCTAGAAGGATGTTGTGTTGTACAAAACACTCCAACATGGAAGTCACCCACCCCAAATGTTAATGAGCAGTTAAAAACTGTCCTCAAAATTCTCTTATGTCATGAAAGCTTGTTACTTATAATAGTTATGGAGAAAGTATATGTTTAAATTTATGCTCTCTTATGGCCATAATGTTCAAATTGTGAAGTCAATTTGGAGGAATATCTTCATTTTACTGTTATTAGTAAACAGCTGATTTAAATTTTAATTATCCCAATTTGGGATAATAGAACTATTTTACTGAATATATTTCTTAATAAAATTGGGAAAATGTTTCCTTACCTTGCCATCAGAATTAGTTCCCCATTTCGATTCTATTAAGTGCCCTGGCATTTATGCCCTGGGACAGCGTCTCCATCATGATTCAATGCAGGTAAAGGATATCCCTGTTGTAAAGACTATAAAGGCAGTTTGTGTGTACTGCGGTACCCAGAACAGTAGCTGATGCAAGTCACTTTCCTGCTAGTGGCTGTTCAATGGACAGATAAATAAACAGCTAAAGGAATAAACAAACCCTTCAGGATAAAATAATGTAATAATTCAGGCTACAGGTGGTATTAGCAGTGACATTAACTGAGACATACCCAGAATGTGCCAGTTCCATGAATGTGAGAGACAGGCACCAGAGACTGTGTCACCTAGTAATATCAGAAGCTACCCACAGAAAATCCCATCGGCATGACTGCCCAAACATGAGCTGAGCAAGGACTATACCAATGGACATGCCAGAGTGGTGGGGCAAGCCCGCGAACCTCAACCCTACCATGTGGGAAACAGGAAAGCTGGGGCAGGAGAGCTGATCTTCCTCAGGGAAGAGCACACCAAATGGTCAGCCCTGACAAACATGCAAGTAACATATGGACGAAACATATATGTATATACATATGCATGTGACAATTAGCGAAGGAGGAGGCCATGAGTTTGAGTGAGAGTGGGGAGGCCTAGGTAGGAGGATTTGAGGGTAGGAAAGGGAAGGGAGAAGTAATGTAATTCTATTTTAAACATAAAAAATAAAACGGGAAAGAGTGACAAGCATCTAGAGTACCTGCATGAAACGTACAGTTCCTCTAACTGTGTCAGGGCCACTCTAACGAAAGTGTCACAAACTGGGTGGCTTCTTAAACAGATTTCTTAAGAGTTTCAGAAGCTGGCGAGTGTTCTGAAAGTGCTTACAAGGCCGATGTCTAGACTCTTCTGGACCATGGATGTACAAATTTCTTTACCCAAAATAGTGACTTCATTATAAACATATATGATATATATATATACACACACATACGTATTCTTGTCATATCTTCATATGACAAAGGGGGAAGACATTTTTCTGTAATCTCTAAGGACACTAATCACCTCCCACCTGTACCTTGTACAGAAGCCATTTTATTGGGGCTTAGGCATCAGAGAAGGAACTGTAGGGACACATCAGGGCATGCTGTCGTTTAGGGGTGGGATGAGGAAAGCGCAAGTCTGATTCTATGCATTGTCTTCAGTGATACATTTTCATCTCTAAACTTGGCTGTTGAAACCTGTACTTACCTATCAAAATAAAACGAATACCATTGACTTTCGGAGGGGCCCAGCACCAGTTCCCAAATAAGTCACACACACAGGCTTATAAGTTGTTCTGAATGCCTTCCCTTAATTTGACTTGTTTCTTGTCAGCTTTTCTTAAATTATCCCGACTACCTTTTGCCTTCTGTATACCTTTCTTCTTTCTCCATTGCTTGCTGGGTGGCTGGCCCCTGATGTCCTTCTCTCCTTGTTCTCTTGCTCTTTTTCTTCCTCTTTTCCCCTCCTGTTTATCCTCTATGCCCACCAGCCCTGCCTATCCTTGCTCCTGCCTTGTTTTTGGCCATTCAGCTCTTTATTAGACCATCAGCTGTTTTAGACAGGCAAATAATCACAGCTTTACAGAGTTAAATAAATGCAATATAAACAAAAATCACACATCTTAAAATAATATTCCCCAACAAATACTATATATTATTTTTAGTCTCAAAAATGTACGTAGTCATTTTTTATTAAGATGGTAAGTGGTTCTCTAGTTTCTCTCTCCAGTGCCTAAGGCTGAGAAACTTTGACAGTGTAACTTCTCTGTACTTTTAACTAAGTCTCATTAATTATCTGATTTATATCTATTAGATTTACCTTATGAATAAGTTTTTTTGAAGTCTAAAAGTTCAATATTTTAACAGAACTTTAAATACATATTAAATCAACAAAACCATACATAGAGAGTTTTTGGTATCACACAGTTGACTGTTGGGTGTAAAATAGGATTGTCATGCTCATCCGTGAGTTGGCTTGAACTAAATGAGTCATATTGTTTGTCAGTCAAAAAT